GAAGGAAGGACAAAATTACAGAAGGCCAGAAGAAAAAAGAAAGGAAAGGCACAATAAGAAATGGTAGGAAGAAGGAAAAACCAGACTGCAAGGAATGAAAGGGGGAAGGAAGGAAGGAAAGAAAGAAGTAAGTTAGGAAGGAAGGAAAGAAAGAAGGATTCAATGATAAATGATGGAAGGAAGGAAATGGGGGTGCGAGGAATGAGGACATGAGGAAGGAAGGAAATAAATTAGAAAACGGAGAACAGAAATAACAGAACAAATGAAAGTAGGAGACAAGGAAGAAGATGGAAGAGTGTCAAACAGACAGGAAGAAAGGAAGGACACAAGGAAAAACAAAGGAGAAAAGAAGAAAGGGAGGAGAGAGATTAAGATGGAAGGAAAGAAATAAATGAGGATGCAAAGAAAGAAAAAATGACAGGGAAAGGACGAAAAAATGATAACTACATAAAAAAGGAAGAAAATACACAAATAGGGAATAAAGGGAACAAAGATGGAAGGAGGATAGCAGGAACAGAAGTTGGACAAAAATAAATGGAGTAAGGAAAGGAAAGAAGATAGAGTAAGATGAAAAAAATGAAGGAAGAAAGGACTGAAGAGAAAGAGTTCTGACACAAGGAAGGAAAATAGAAAGAGGTATTTAGTAAAGAAAGGAGGGGCACAAAGAAGGAGGGAATAACTCACAAAAGGAAGGAAAGAAGGAAGGACACAGTAGCAGTGGGTAGGATATGAAAAGTAGGAGAGAAAGCTGCAAAGAAGGAATGATGAAGGAAGAACAGAAGAAAGGAAAGAATGAAAGACAAGAACAGGAATGAAAAGCAATAAGACTTGATGAATGAGAAGAAAGGAAGGACAGAAATAAATCAGGAAAGACAGAAGCTGAAAGAAAGAAGATAAACATTTATTAACAGAAAATTAAGTATGGAAATACAAATATGTTCCATACTTATCCAAACCTGCCTGTTCAGGAGCCCAAATTTATAGAAAAAAACAATCATCGTTGTATCTAAATTGATGTCAGAAGTAACATCTTTAAAGTCCTGAAAAACGGAGATGCAGAAGTCGGTGTTTGGTGATAATTTGGGGGTAATTTCTCATGTCATTAATGCGTTTTGCGTTGTGCAAATAATTCACAGCAGGCTTGTGTAATCCCTCACTTCCTTCACAGTGGTGGAAATCAGATGCGTTCCCACCCAGATTAGCATGCTCATTTCTTGCTCTTGGAGATGGGATTTAGGGGCATACAGTGGCTAAAAGCAATGGATTATGGAGGATTACCGAAGAGAGTCGACAAACATACACGTCTGCTTGCTTGGTGTGGTGTGGTGAGGGAGTCTGTGTGTGTGTGTGTGTGTGTGTGTGTGTTTGCAATGCAGAAAGCAGGTTTTGTGTGTTATCTGCCCTGCAGAATAGAATAGCAATCATATTCCCACACATATTAGTTCTAGTAATAGAAAACCTGGTGATCAGCAGTGACAGAAAGACACAGATGGACACAATCCTATATGGACATAAATGTAGGAAGAGCAAATAGAGGAGAGACGTGGTTTCCACCGCAAATAAACAAGTGGGGACAGAATGAGCCCACTGTTGCGCCTAATGACTCCCAGCTTAATTAGAAACCGCCAAATAAAAACTGCAAATACTGGCAGTAATATCACTTGCAGTAGTGAGTCATTATAATAATGGGAATAATGACTTTATAGCTTCGACGTACCTTCGCCACATTGACATAGTCATCGTCTGATAGCGTGTCAAGCATCTCTATGACGGAGGTTTTCATGAGCTTCAGAGTGAGTCCGCTGACACTGCCGCTCCTGCAGAAAGCAAAGAGACGACGACGCTCAGAAACATGCAGAAATATTAAAATTAGTTTTCTTGCTTTACAGGTTATAAGTTGGAACTTTACTACCATTTGCATCTAATTCCCCCCTTGATCCAGTTTTTATTCTTTGATGAGTTGATGATGAGGATGCAAATAAAGGATAAGATGTAGAATAAGATCAACTAAAAAAGTAAAATAATCCCAATTAAACTGTAGTGAGTCGATAAAAAGAAGTGATGATAAGTAGTAGATTTGTCCATATAGCTATTATTTCTCTCATTATACATGCAATATATACATGTATATATTATATAATATACATGTATATACAGCTCTGGAAAAAAATAAGAGACCACTAAAAGTGATCAGTTTCTCTGATTTTACTCTTTATAAGTACATGTTTGAGTAAAATGAACATTGTTCTTTTATTCTATGAACAACTGACAGCATGTCTGAAACTCCAACTAAAAGTTTAGTTTTTATTTGCAGAAAATGAGAAATGGTCAAAATAACAAAAAAGATGCAGTGCTTTCAGACCTCAAATAATGCAAAGAAAACAAGTTCATATTCATTTAGAAACAACAATGCTGATGTTTTAACTCAAGAAGAGTTCAGAAATAAATATTTGGTGGAAAAGCCAGGAGGTTTTCAGTGGGGTTCAGTGCAGTGGGCTCTTAGTTTATCCACAACTGTATATATAAATCTACTGCTATAACTGAAATGGACAAATTACAAATATAAAATAAAGGTTAAATTACACAGAATATTTATGTGTGTTCTTTAAATTTTCAAAATATTATAATTTAGAAATCAATCTCTTTTATGTCAGTTTTTAAGGTTGATAATATAATTTAATGCTAAACAATTATCCATAAAGAAATAAATGTGAAAGAAAGAAATATGAATGTGTTTGAGTGAGAAAAAAATACTTTAATAACTACATTTCTCATAATAAATCACATTCAGCTTGCATATTTAAGTCCTCTGGTTCTTAACTTGTCCAATGTCACTTTTCTCTCCCACATCTTGAAGGTTTACCTGAACCAATAAATCAGGATGTAAGGCTTAAAGGTCAGAGGATAAGAAGCAATCATCGTCTTAAACTTTCGCCTCCCCTCACACCAACAGGTGGCACTGGTGTCCTTTGAAGGCGATAATCTCTGCTGGATCCAGGGACAAGGTGAGGGAAAAGTGAAATACTTACACATCTACAATGATGACCATGTCCTTTGGAGACGATGCACCTTGGATATACCTGCACAAAAGAGGCAAAGAAAGGACTTTAATTTGTTCCCATAATCTCTGAAAATTGCACTGAAGAAAGAGGCCAGCGTCACAATGAGCCCAGTCATAATAGTACGGAGCAGCCATAGCTGAGCCCACTTAAGCTACAGAATAGTGAAAAGGCTTATGTGCTTAGAAGAGTTAATAAGTTGTTATATACTTCAGTGTTGGCTACAGCCGCTGTTGGCTGACTTCAATGCAGATAGTCCTCTTCAGTGAATACCAGAGCCTGGTCTGAATAATTGTTGCATAAGCCGGAGTAATTACTAGTTGATGGTTTCAGCATGTAGCAACACATCTGGCACAATAGCCTGCAGTGAACTGTAAAAGCCTTCAAGTAAATGTGGAGATGGCCCTTGTAATGGGCCCAACAAACACATCTTTAACACCATATTATCAGCGTTATTATACTGTTAAAAGTGCAATCATCCCTTTAAACAAAGGCTGAATGTGTAAAATGTCTCAGATATTTAGACTGTATTACACTAAACAGCAATCTTAAAAGCTGCTTAATTATAGAGATTTGTTTTCTATTTTGGCATTAATGACAGAAGAAATTTCAGGGGAACTTTACACAAAGTCACATTTATTTAAGGGTAGGATAACTACACCTCCTTTTTTCTGATGCTAATTAAAAGACAGGGGGATTGTTAGAGTAACTTTTATATACGGTGCCTTGCAAAGCTGTTCATACTACATTAACTTTTTCACATAATTGTCCATAATTCATTACAATTCTACATACTTGTGGATTGGAAGGAAAATTAGACATGCTTTTAAACATTATTCACAGCTAAAAACCTAAAAAGCTCCCTTTTCTCTGATACAGTCAAATAAAATCAAGTGCAAACAATGGCCTTTGGGACTCAATTAAATCCATCATCTGAAAGTGGAAAGAGCTAAACGCAAATGGAAAGTTGTACAAAGACATGGCTGTCCAACCAAACTGACTGGTAAAGGAGAAAACCAATCAGAAAAGCATGATAACTCTAGGGGAGCTGCAGAGATCCCCTGCTCAGGTGGGAGAATGTGGATAGAGCAGGACTATTATTAGTTATGCTCTTCACAGAATGCTGCCTTTTCAACAGGGAGCCATAATAGGATAATGTTGATAACTTGAAAAAAATTTACTTAAGTACATTCCCTCACTGGATATAAACAACTTACATGGACGTTTATGGTTGCTTAGCAACGTATTATGAAGAAGTTCTTAATGGTGCGTTCACACCAAACACAATACGCGCATCAAAAACTCGTCCGACACTTCAAGTTCAACGCATGTGCACTTTGAATGCAGATGCTTGACATTTCGCTCCACACTTAGTGTTTCATGCGTCTGGTTTACATTCAAAGTCTATCTGGAGGCGCGTCAAAGGCGCCAGATGCATCAACATTGCTCTAGCCGCTGTTTTCCGTTGCTGGCCTATTTGTCGGACATGCTCGACGCATCAAACTCTTCAAATCGTGCCGCGACTTTGAATGTACCTGCCTCAGCTCCCGGATCAGGCTTTAAAAAAGCCTGACCTGCCGATTCTAATATTGGCCAATACCAAATGTTTTTGTCTGAAATGTTGCTGAATAAAGCAAGAAAGTTGCTGATTTTGTAACAGCGGGGTGACTATTGCTAACTGGAAACATGCAGGCATGAACTTTTGGTTGGTTCTGTCAGTCAAACTTCTCTCACGGGAAAGCAAAACAGGACAGTGGTTGATTTTTAGACTTTCATCGAGGGAGATAAGATCATTGGATAAGATCGACTTCACATCTAAGTATCGTCCAATCACCAATCTCCCAAAATAAAGGTAATCAGGGCCAATTTATTGGTGCACTCTCAGATTAAGTGATATTTCTCAAAGGGAATGCCAAAAGCCAACTCTCTCTCTCTCTCATTGAAAACTTGTTTTCTTTTTTTTATTATTCAAACATGCTTAGGACTTTCATAGACAACACCTGCAAGACCAAAGTCCCTTTGCACCGTTTAGTTGTAACTGGGAAACTAGTAAAACCTCACCTATCCACTCAGCTAAAAATTACTTGTCAAGGAACAGCCAAAGTGGAGCTGGCATGAAAGCCCACGTTGACCTGAGTAATTTCAGTAAAATAAGGCAGCCGACGTTCCGTTCCCTTCGCCGGCTCTTCAGCTGGGTGTCAAATACGTCATTGAGTCTGGCGGCGACCCTGCTGCTGCTTCAGATTGTTAAACGAAGCACCTTCCCAACGATGTGTGTAAGCTCACCGGACAGAGACGGTGATGAACTAGCCGGCGCATGTAACATCTGAACACTGTTGATAGAGGATGACATACAGAGGGAAATCAGAAATCCCTTCAGTCTCTTCCAGTGGCAATTAAATTCGCATTTGCCAGCGATACAAAGAGAGCTAAGATGGATGGACAGCCGGAGCTTTTCTGCAGCTCGGCGGCGGAGGGGAGGGTTGTCTCAGATGTGAGTCTTAGTTTGACATTCTGAGGAAGTGAGCAGGCGAGCAGTTAGCAGCCGTCTTAGGCAGAGCCAGAGCAATCATCAGGGGTCTCTTTCTGCTGATTATCGGCCGTTCTGCTGAGTGCGGAGGGAAGCCAGCTGCCCGCGGGCCAAAGAGGCTCTTTTCGCTCGCTCGGCCAGGCTGATACGGAGGTTTGAGCGACGGAGCCCCAGTAGGCGGCACTCTAAACTGCTGAGTGACCCCTGACCTGTGTTGACATCTCATTGCCTGGTCTGCTCAAACCACTTTGGTGAAAAGCTTAAGTGGAAATCTCAGGAGAAACAGGGGCTGCTTCATATGAGGTCAATAACTGAGCTCAGCTGGTAGCGAATATAGGCAAAATATATGTGTGTGTACATAAGAGGGAGATGGAGAGAGAGTGAGGAAGATGGAGGAGTGAGAATCCAATTATGTTCAATAATAAAGAATGCTACATCAAAGGTAGAACTTCCACAGCTTTCCACTTCTGTGTGGCGACAGAAATCAGGTCTGGAACCATGAGGCATATAGGCGTGCATGACTTTTATCAATTTAATTACTGAAATCTTAATTCAAGGCAGTGAGGGAGAGGGCGGAGGAAGGACCTGAGACTCCACGCGGCGGGGGCCGCTTTCTTTTTAGCAGACCGAATTTGTGAAAGCGATCATCGATGCGGGACGGAAAGCTCGGTCAGAATGAGGCACACGTCTCAACTCCCCGAGGCTCCCAAACAGAGTCACCTCGTCTGGAGATTAAAGGAGGGTCATTTGGTAACGGCTGATGCTCGCAGACCAACTGCGAGATTTCATTAACTTCCTTGGTCAGTCTACTTCTCATCGAGGAGAATGGTCGTTTAATGGGAATTCAACTTATTTTGGAGGGGGTTAAATGTTAATTATAAGGCAATGCGGGCTTTCATTACCATGTCATTACAGGTCATCTTCATCTCCACCATTGCAACAATCTCAGACTAAAGAACTATGCAGGCTGCACACCTAAAATATGCTGAGGAGATATTACTTTCAAGCAGATCATTTCTCTGCAGCTGTGAAAGAGGCAGCATTGATCAGTGGTAATAGGGTTTAAGAGAAATGTGTGAGCCGTGATGGAGTAAGAAGAGTAAGGCATGAGTCAAAGCTATATAGTGCTGCCATGGCTGATCTTCCACACAGATTGGCCTGGCATATCGGCAACGGCCCCGTTTTATTTTTTTCCTCGTCGCCTGAAGTGCGACTGAATTTTGTCTCTGCCTCTGAGCGGGACAACATCAAGATCAGAGGAAGTGGGATATAGAATCAAGGATTTTCAGTCTACGGACCCGATATCGCACTTCTGACGGATAAAAATCACAAACTGCGGCTGGTATCCGGGTATAATTCACCACGTTTTTGACTCGCGGATCCAGATGTGTCGTTTCTGCATGGATTCCAGTCTGTAATTACCTCTCGGCTCCTGCCCCCTGATGCCATTCTTTCCCTGTCATTACCCAGTCTCCTGCATGCCAAGGCCAGGTGACAAGCAGATGGGCCTGGCTGGTGCTGAACCGAGCCCGCTCGCCCATTCAGTCCCCAGCAGGCAGCGGACCCAGCCTTTCAGCTTTTTACCATCCACTAAAGGTTACAAAGAACAACTCATCACTGCCAGTGAGCCATCAAGAGCAGTATCCTGTTTCAGACATGGCCGCTGTATTTCACATAATGACGTGTCAGCTCCTGTTTGTTCTGATGCGCCAATTAGAGAAGATAAACAACTGCCATCTGAGACTTTATATCAGTGCCACGGTTCATTATAAAAAATCTTGGATCAAGATTTAGGTTGACATAACACGCTAATTACAAGTTGAGTCATGGTACACCTCCAGTGATTTTTTTTTTTTTAAGTAATCCTTACTGAAAACCACAAGTCACATCTCCAGTGAGCTAATTAATGAATCCAGCTTGCAATACATAAGTAGTTAACAGCATCATTCGGTTTTTGCAGTATTCCTGTCAATCTAGTGGATTAATTTAATCTTAGTAACATGTTTACCGAAAGGCAGATGCAGCAGACCATAGATGGAAAGAAGGATTTTTCATAAGCTCAATGAAATTATGGACAACCCTGACCATCCTTTTCATGAAACTGTTGGGAAAACAGAGTGTCTTCAGTCAGTGGCTTCTTCAAACTCACTGTAACACAGACTGCTACAAGAGCTCTTTCCTGCCAACAGCCACTACTGTCGACAATAACTCTTTGAAGACTTTGAATTAATGAGTTACAACAACATTTAATTTCCTTTTGGGATCAATAAAGTATTTTTGAATTTGACTTTTGCATCAAAATCTTTTACTTGCTTTCTAAAGACCATAACTGTGAATCTAGTAGCTAAAGGAGAAATGTTTTACTGAGATAAAGACAGATTTCCTGAAGCACCATCAGCTTACGTTAGGGTTAGGGCTGGACAATATGGCTGAAAAACGTATCACAATATCAGCGTTCCATATCGGTTGGTATTGATAACTATTGATTTAC